CCTGTTCATCTATCATTCCCTCGTCCTCTGTTAAACCCGCCTCTCCCCTGTCCTGTTCCCACAAAGAAAATCTGATTTTCTTCCCCATCTTCTCCTATGAAGAAAGCTGATGCTGACGCTTTCTTATGTCTTTTTTCTTTGATCTGGGTTGCTGCATGTTCTGCATAATTTAGGCACTCTTGTAAGTCGCATGTCCTATGGTTAACATTATGCTTGCGGATAAAGTCAGCAATACCTGGGTGGAACCCATTCATCAGGCTTTGTTTCAGCTGCTGCACATATGGGGAGTCAACAGCATTGCTGGGTGGAATTCCGCTATGGATACGGAAACAATCTTCCATTCTGATTCTGAAATCTTGTACTGACTCTTTTTCTCCCTGTCTACACCCTGAGACTTTAGTAAAGTCTCGTCTCAGTGCAAAAACCCTCTCGATTGAGATATTTACGGGAGCGAGTGCATTTATGAGGTCCTGCTGACCTGGTTCCAGCGGGTTTCCATTGGGCCAGGACCCGGTGAAATCTCCCTTTACCCTGGCCCATTCGTGGCCAAAGATTGTCATAAGGGTTCTTAAAACTTCATGTCCATTTAAACCATATGACGCTATTAATGCAGTATGGTCAAGGACAAACTGCGCCGGGTCCTGTTTGTATGGAGTCAGTCCCTCACAAGCCTTTTTACACTCATCCATTGTCCATGGGCGGAACACTCTTAACATTCTTTCTAGGTCACCGTCAACTCCATAGTGCGGGTTGGCCACTTGTACTAATGGATAAGCGTCACCCTGATATGCTGTTCCGTCGAAGGATTGTTCTGCTTCTCTTAATTCTTCAACAGGATATAACTTGGTTTCCCCCTTATTTTTTCTGGTGTGCAGTGGGCTTAATGCATCTGCCATTTCTTTGTCGATGCGTTTTTGTGTCTCTCTTTCCCTGTCTTTTCTCTCTTTCTCTTACTTCCTTTTTATTCTTTGTTCCTGCGCTTTGTGTTCTTCCACTATCGCTCTCTCTTTCTCGCGGCGTACAGCGTCAACTGACCCTGAACGCCCTGTCTCCTCGTCTGCTTTCACTGAAACAGCCGCTGCTATCATACCTTCTTCTGCTCCACCTGTCCTTTTATGGGCTTGTTCAGCCCATAAAGCTGCAACCCGCAGTTGAGCTTCTAACTTCTTTCTTTTCTTGCCTTGTGTTGTTCCAGCTGTTGCTGCTCTCAATTTGTTGCTTAATTATCTTACTGCTGTTTTCTCCAACTTTCCTCGGAAGCCGTACAGTTTATACCATTTGCTACAATAACTGGTGCTGCCATGACTATATATTTCCATATATCTCATGTCCCCTGTAGCGGCAGGCTTACTCCCATTGGACCCCATGATTCTAGCTTGGTGTTCCTACTGGACAACGTGCCGGTCGGAACATAATTCCTAATTCACCACTAGTGTACTTCAACAGACCACAGAGTTTTTGTTATCACCGTTAGGTTTCCACTCTGTGCGCTGATTCCACTGGTGACACTTTTACACACTGCTTTCACTCAATCACTCATAAGGCACGTCGATCCTCCTTCTAGGCGGAGTAGCCTTTCTCTATCAACGTTTTATCAACCTCCTTAATGGCGGAGTAACCGTGTATATCAACGTTTTATCAACCTCCTTAATGGCGGAGTAACCGTGTATATCAACTTTTTATCAACCTCCTTAATGGCGGAGTAACCGTGTATATCAACTTTTTATCAACCTCCTTAATGGCGGAGTAACCGTGTATATCAACGTTTTATCAACCTCCTTAATGGCGGAGTAAACCGTGTATATCAACGTTTTATCAACCTCCTTAATGGCGGAGTAACCGTGTATATCAACGTTTTATCAACCTCTTTAATGGCGGAGTAACCGTGTATATTAACGTTTTATCAACCTCCTTAATGGCGGAGTAACCGTGTATATCAACGTTTTATCAACCTCGTTAATGGCGGAGTAACCGTGTATATCAACGTTTTATCAACCTCCTTAATGGCGGAGTAACCGTGTATATCAACTTTTTATCAACCTCCTTAATGGCGGAGTAAACCGTGTATATCAACGTTTTATCAACCTCCTTAATGGCGGAGTAACCGTGTATATCAACGTTTTATCAACCTCCTTAATGGCGGAGTAACGTGTATATCAACGTTTTATCAACCTCCTTAATGGCGGAGTAACCGTGTATATCAACTTTTTATCAACCTCCTTAATGGCGGGAGTAACCAGTGTATATCAACGTTTTATCAACCTCCTTAATGGCGGAGTAACCGTGTATATCAACGTTTTATCAACCTCCTTAATGGCGGAGATAAACCGTGTATATCAACGTTTTATTCAACCTCCTTAATGGCGGAGTAACCGTGTATATCAACTTTTTATCAACCTCCTTAATGGCGGAGGTAACCGTGTATATCAACGTTTTATCAACCTCCTTAATGGCGGAGTAACCGTGTATATCAACTTTTTATCAACCTCCTTAATGGCGGAGTAACCGTGTATATCAACGTTTATCAACCTCCTTAATGGCGGAGTAACCGTGTATATCAACGTTTTATCAACCTCCTTAATGGCGGAGTAACCGTGTATATCAACTTTTTATTAACCTCCTTAAATGGCGGAGTAACCGTGTATATCAACTTTTTATCAACCTCCTTAATGGCGGAGTAACCGTGTATATCAACGTTTTATCTTACCCGTTATCTGTGGTCACTGGTCCGGTTGGATTCCGTCAATCGTGCCTAGGATGAGGGAGGTTGGACATATAAGCACCGGCCCGGCCACGAATTCTGCGTCCCGGGTCTTTCTCGGGGTCGGCTGATGATCCCGGCTGTCGACAGACTTGCGGCGTGTCTTTTCCCTCCTCCTTCCCGTCACGATGTATTGAAATCCGGCTCCGAAGGACCAATTAATGTGAGGTATCTATATTACTTTGTAAGGGTAAACCCCAGCTCGGTTCAATAACCAAAATCCAGTGAACAGAGATAACAGATACTCGAGTTCCAAGTTTTACTTGCTGCAAGGAGAATCGGCGAGTGACAGGCCGTGTCCACTCCTTAACCAACTCAACTCGCCTTCTCCCAGTGCATTCTTTTTATTTCAACAATACAGTAACATGACAATCATGTGGTGTTGACCAACACCTTATCTGTTAGTGTGCATCTTGTGACTCTCAGTCATGTGAATCTGTGTGTGTGTGTGTATGTGTGGCACTGAACAGACTGTTCTCTGTTCCTCCATTATGCTTCTTGTAACACATTTATGAGAATACATTATGAAAACACATTTATCCTTCAATAAACTCTAACAGTCTGTCACTGTGTGTGTGTGTCATTGTGTGTGTGTGACTGTTTGTGTGACTGTGTCTGTCACTGTGTGTCATTGTTTGTGTGTGTGTGACTGTGTTTGTCACTGTGTGTGTGTGTGTGTGTGTGTGTGTGTGTGTGTGTGTGTGTGTGTGTGTGTGTGTGTGTGTGTGTGGTGTGTGTGTGTGTGTGTGTGTGTGTGTGACTGTGTCTGTCACTGAGTGTGTGTGTGTGTGTGTCACTGTGTGTGTGCTGTGTGTGTGTGTGACTGTGTGTGTGTGACTGTGTGTGTGTGTGTGTGTGTGTGTGACTGTGTCTGTCACTGAGTGTGTGTGTGTGTGTGTGTGTGTGTGTGTGTGTGTGTGTGTGTGTGTGTGTGTGTGTGTGTGTGTGTGTGTGTGTGTGTGTGTGTGTGTGTGTGTGTGTGTGTGTGTGTGTGTGTGTGTGTGTGTGGAGCAGAGCCCCGCCCTTCAGAATGCAGTGGACACTAGGGCTGCTCGATTATGGCAAAAATCATAATCTCGATTATTTGGGTCAATAATTGATATCACGATTATTAAAAACGATTATCCATGTACTTTGAAAACATCCATTTATTGGAGGAAAACAATTTGAACAGTATGTTTTTAACAGTTGATTACCCTGAACTTTAAGTATAACTCAACTGAAATTAATAATAATAAAAAAAATAATCTTTATATTTCGATTACGTTGTTTTCGTAATCGTTGCAAGCCATAATCGTAATTGCGATTAAAATACGATTAATTGAGCAGCCCTAGTGGACACTGAAACATGCACAGACATTGGATAAATAACATAAGCGTTTAGTTTATGTAATAAAAGAGCACACGGAAAAGTGACCGTAGATAGATGACTTCAGTTGCGATTTGGCGCTATATATAATATATATTAACCCTCCGGTATCACTGCGGACATTTTTGTCCCGAATGACTAATGTGTGACTTTTTTGTTCAATCTGATTTTGTGCAAAAACTAATAATGCAAAAAAATCTATTTTGTTGCTAATCTTTGACACATCCAAGACTGTGATAAAAAAAAAAAGAGCCAGTCCCCAGATATGTATGTTTTGGAAAATAACTCATTTCCTCTGTTTTCATCATGAAAAAAAACAGTGGTTTCATGTATTCAAAATGGCATTTAAAGGGTTAAAATCCTGAAAATGATTACATTTTTGGTATTTTCTATTAGGGCGGAAGTTGCTTTAAAGATTGAACCCAAAAAAGTTGTGAAAAAAACCTTTTAATATAATGTTTTTATCAAAGTCTTTTGCAGTGGACATTTTTGTCTCGAATGACTAATTTGTGTAGTCCAATGGTAGGGGAAACACTGAGAACATAAGATAGCTAAAAGAGAATAGATGGGTAGCTTTACAAAAATAAATAACATTTGTATACATAAAAATGTCATTATAATTTCTCTGCACTACTATGAGTAATACCCAAAGGCAAAGCTAGGAAACAAATACCTACAAATACTTACTAAGATGGAATAAAATGTAACACAAAAGCGTTTTTTTGTTTGTACAAAAACAAATATTTTCTCTAAAAGTCTTTCAATGATAGCATGAGATTTCTTCTTGGATCTTAAAGACAAAGCAGTCTCAAAATGTCTTGAAGTTTACGTTCTAATCTGTCTTTGTTTGCTCTCTTACTTTTCCTGTAGGTCCAGACGCTCCGATCCACTCTCTCCCTGAAGGAGCGCCCCCTGCTGGCCGACAGGACAACAACAGCCTGGATCCACCCAGAAAGGTAGATGGAGTGTGTGTAGAAGTGTGTGTGTGTGTGTGTGTGTTCATCTCACTGTGTAAAGACACCGTTTCATGGGGAAGAAATCCCAATAATAATATGTCTCCGTGTGTGTGTTCAAGTGTCTCCATGTGTGTGTGTGTGTGTTCAAGGGTCTCTGTGTGTGTGTTCAAGTGTCTCCGTGTGTGTGTGTGTCATTCACCCTATATGTCATTGAAAACCTCTTATTTGTGACTTCTTTTGTTGAACTTTCCTTGTAGAAGAATGCAGCCGGGGATCAAGGGAAAAACAAAGGGGGGAGGAAGAAGAGGGAGTACGTACCCCAGAGACGGTCTGGAGGCTACGCTGTTCTGCTCACACTTTACAGAGTGTCTCAGGTACGCCTTCCTCCTTCACATCTACACAAAATACCTCCATGTTTTGCATCGTGGGTTCATTTGATGTCTCTCCCTCCAGATCCCAGGCAGCAAAGGCTACATGTTTAAGATGGAGCTCCAAGCAGAAGCTCAGCAGCTCTGCGATAAGTCCTTCTCTGTGGTGAGTGGAGTATTCGTTACAAGTGCATTTAAACCCGCTTATTACACCCAAATAAATTGAGGATTTGACACGACTAATGATTTTAAACATGCTTTCATATATTTGAAAATTATCGTTTTGCTTTCGCTAAGATAAAATAGTGGCGTAGCAACTTAACTTAAAATGACGACGGCACTAATCGAGATGTTCTGGTGCATAACTGTCAGTCTTTTACCTCCTTTTATTTATTTTGACATTATTAAACACCAATATGTAGAAGTATTGGATCATTGCGTGTGGGCTGTAACAGTTTAACACGGGTAGACACTCTGAAATGACCACGAAGCATTATTATGACACAGAATAATGAACTATTTAAATCAAATCAAGTTTTATTTATATAGCACATTTTCAAAACGATTTTTGGTCAAAGTGCTGTACATACAATCAAAATACTTTACAATAAAAACACTTTACAATAAAAACACTTAACAACAGCACAAATAAAAAAATCACACCTATTCTGTGTGTTGACATTTACGACCATCCCTGCTTCTAATCTCCCGTAAGGAATGTGATAATGGAGTCGTATGTTGATACTACCAGGTTTTATGGCCTGACCTGGCGGGCACAGGGGGGGTTTTACGACTGTGAGAACGCGGGCTTCTAAGCACCACGGATGTCAGAGACATCTCCATTGTTCCCAGGTGTTCACGTACCGTCCCCCAATTGACTCTCTGTATACTAGTTAAAAGGTCTACCAAGATGCGAGGCGGATCAGATTTGACATGGCAACCCACCCGTGCAGTCAGAACCTTTGACTGTGTGACTTGTGATGTGAATTTCTCCGGCCGATGCTTGTATTAAAGATCCGTGTTTGTTTGGAGGCATGTGGCGTAGTGGGTTAGTGCCTAGGTGTTGGGGTCAGGGGGTCACAGGTTCAAACCCCACTGCAGTCAGCATGTCGTTGTGTCCCTGAGACTCTTCACCCCAAATTGCTCCTGTGGGAGCCACAGTATTGAGTATGTAAGTCGCTTTGGATAAAAGCGTCTAACAAGTAACATGTAATAATAAAAAAAAGATCCATGTTAATAATATTTTTGTTTTTTTTAAATCGTACATTTGGGAAAACCCGGCGCTCCCGGAGAAATCCCGCTATGCCACGGACAAGTTAATGAACTTTAACCCGTGGTATTTATCTCGTTGTAATTGTAGCTTGCTGGAAGAATATCTAAGCCCCCTGATGTCATGCTAAGACATCTTACTAATGTTTGGTTTTTTTAAATCGTACATTTTGGGAAAAACCCGGTGCCCCCGGAGAAAACCCGTTATGCCACGGATAAGTTAATGAACTTTAACCCGTGGTATTTATCTCGTTGTAATTGTAGCTTGCTGGAAGAATATCTAAGCCCCCTGATGTCATGCTAAGACATTTTACTAATGTTTGGTTTTTTAAAATCGTACATTTTGGGAAAAACCCGGTGCCCCCGGAGAAAACCCGTTATGCCACGGATAAGTTAGTGGCTTTTATCTCCTGGACTGCTGAGCTCGATTCTCCTGAACCGTTTTCATGTGTTCAAGGTAGTCATTGTCAACGGTGACGATCTTCACATTCAAGCCGTTCATTCGGTCTTGATCTTCTTGGACCCTTTGTCCGAGTTCGCCGTTTGGATTCTGATCCGCGGTGTTTTTGGCCTGCTGAGCTCTTTTCTCCCCAAACGTTTTCTTGGATTCAAGGAAGTCATTGTGAAGACTGACGTTGTTCACATTCAAGCCGTTCATTCGGTCCTGATCGCCGTTTGGATTCTGAACCGCTGTGTTTCTTTCCCTCAGCGGCTCATCACACATAGACTGCAGGTCGTTAATCTTTTCCTGCAGGGTTTTGTTCTGAGAACGACCCTTCCTCAAAACACCAATCTCTAGGTTAAGTTCAACAAGATCCTTCGCCATGGCGGCACTATCACACCTCAAGGTCTCGTTGGATGCCTGCAAAGCCTCGTACTTGATCATGAGATGCTTTTCCTTGTGAACCTCATTGCTCAAACCCTGGATCTTTTTAAACAAAGCCTCGTTCTTCCTCGTAACGTCCTCTCTCTCAGCTTTCGCCTCCTTGTAAGAGTCCTCGAGGTGCATGAAACGCAGATGCCTTTCCTTGAGCTGCAACACTTCTTCTCGCAGGGAGACATGTTCGAGGCTCATGGCGGCTTTTTCTGTCACCATTGCGTTGCAACGTTCCCTAATGGTGTCCTCGTTCTCAAGTTCTTGGCACAACTCGACTTTCTTTTGTTGCAACAATTGCATTTGCTGGAAAATCAACTCTTTTTCTTCCTTCGCAATGTTGTATGACCCCAGAAGATCCTCTAAACCCAGAAGCTTCTTTGAAAGCTCAAAGATCTCTTCTTGCAAGTCTTCGGTTTGGCTCATTTCCTCATATTTCGACCGGTTCATTTCGTCCATCTCAAACTGCACCATGCTTTCATTTTCAAGCTCCCTGCAGAGATCGTCCACTTCCTGCTGCAGAGCCTGGTTCTTCTGGAAAACCGTCTCTATCTCTGCCTTAGACACTTGGAAACGATCCTGAAGTTGCTCTTTCCTTTGTTTGAGATACTGAAGTTCTTCCTCAAGGCCACCATTTACTCTGATGGTTTCCTCTGCGTCACTTCTCAATGCATCAAGCGTTTCCTCTGCAGCAGAATAGCTTTGGATCGATGAACGCACCTCTTTAATCTGTGCTTCGAGCTCTCTCTGTACACGTAGTGCAGCTTCATGCTCGGCTTTGATAGCATCGATGCTATCCAGCTCATCTAGCTTGTCAAACATCTGTTCCTCGAGGATCTGTCGTTCACGCTCCAATTCCTTGTTTGTCTGGATTAGTCCCTGGAACATCGCCTCTACGGTAACGTTATTTTCGATCTTCTCACTAAGAACCCTCACTGCTTTTTCGAGGTAGGCACACTTGCGCCTCGCGACATGTCCCTCTGCCTTCAGAGCGTCAAACTGCTCCCCCAGCGCTGGAAAGCTGCCGAACTGTTTTTGTATGGATTGCATTTCCACATGTAGGGTCTTGAGATGTTCTTCAACTGCCCCAAGACTCCTCCTAACTCCAGCGTAGTCACCTCCCAATTCCGCTTGTTCCTTATTGCAGGACATGTTTTTTTAAGATGACAATGATACACGCACAGAAGCAACTGGTAATACCTAACTGTTTGTGTTGTCAGCGTCAGACTGGTTTCTGCTAAGCCAAGATATGCTGTGCCTTGAAACTCAAACTGGTCTCCTTGCAGGTTCCCATTTGGAACTATCGATGATGTCACAAAGCACATCACAGCATCATCATGACATCACTTGGAATTTCTGCACAATGCTCACATGTAGAGATGTGGCCATGGCAACAGTGAAGATGCATTCTGGGTAACTTTGCCCAGGCATTCCATTTTTGAAAAAACAACAACAAGATGGCTGACTCCTTCCTACTCTCTATTCTACTCAATATTAAGGGAGTTCTTTGTGGAGGATTATGTGGTGAAAATGAACACACCGATGTTCTGAAACTAATATATAAAAAGGGACTTGTGTTGGGATGTCCTGTTAACAATAAACCATTATTATTACTCAAAAATTGTCGTCAAAAGCAGAGAAAATACTCCAATTGAAAATACTTCCTAATAATACTCTTTATTCAAAAAAAATGTTGAGTCTGTAGGCATGACATATTAATGTTTTTGGTACAAAATTAGCTTGAGAACAATTTTTTATTGGCCATTTATTGACTGATATGACGGCACAGGGTACCCTGATCAGAGCGTCCTGAATATTTGTATTTTAATTCAGTTAACTTTTATGTGTCTGTAGCCAGATCTGGGCAGTAAGTACACGGCCTGGTCTTCAGTGAGCACTCTGATCCAGAAGAACCTGATGATGAAGACCCACAACCCTGCAAGGTACAGAGGAAACACACACACACACACACACACGATGGATTGACACACACATTATTTCTGTACGATTTCAGATTCAGAGTGTTTTGAAGTGGAAACGGGGGCTTCTCTTTCGTTTAAATGGAGTTCACTCTTCCTCCCTCTTCAGGTATTCTCTGACAGAAGAGGGTCTGGCTTTAGGGGAGCGCCTCGAGTCTTTAGAGGGAACTAAAGGTCCAGAAGGAGACAGAGAGGAGGCCAGGAGTGAAGGAAACGAGCAGGAGGAGGGAGAAGAAGGTGGCCCGGGGATTGTGGACCTCACTGTTAGTGATGATGACGAAGAGGAGAAGGAAGAGGAGAGAATACAGTGAGTGTGCTTCAAAACTTCTGGGACAAAAACGTATCATTATCTCAACAAGTAACTCTACTCTGAAATGCATTTAAGTCGTACCTTTATTTTCCTTTTGTCATATGTTGTATAGACTAAGTGTTTAGAGACCAGTTAAACATTCAAGATTCAAGATAACGTGGTCTTGGTTTTGACAATCTTAAGTCCCAGCCTCCTCCAACAACTTACGACATAAAAAGGAATAAATATAGTCCAAAAATATATAGAACGGTGCAAGTAAAAAGCAAAAATAGGTCAACTATATACATGTAAAAAGTAAATACAGAAAAATACGGTGCTTTCTACTTTAATATACGAAAATAGGTAGACTTTCCTTTGTGTGTTTTAGCTTGTAATGTTTCTGATGAACTCTCCAATTGTAGATGTGTAAGTAATATATATTTAAGACCGAAATATCTCCATTATGTTTTATGATTGCACTTGTGTTGTTGAACTGTTTGTCAATACAATAAAAGGAATTGAACCGTCTTTTTCCAGACCTACAGAGAGGCCGACCTCCTCTGCTTCCCAGCCGAGGGTTCTCGTTCCTGGGATGTTCTTTTCAGGGAAACCCCGAAATGTACCGAGCAGAAACCCAAAGTCCTGGAGTCTCCTTCCCGGCTCCTACGAGATCATCCTCTGTGTGGACTTCATTGAGACAACGGGGTAAGACCGCTGTGTGTTTTAAACTGTGTGAATCAAACGTGTGTGTGTGTGTGTGTTTCCTGAACGGTCGGTGTGTTTGTGAAGCGGAAGCAAAAACTGCAAGCAGGATCTGGTCAAAGAGCTGCAGAGGAACGGAGTGACGTTCGATGTGAGGAAGCTCAACGTGGGAGATTTCCTGTGGGTCGCTCGGGAAAAGGTTGCGCCTATTCCAGGTAACACAACGTAGAAAACAACTCGCCTATTGTGCAAAATCCACTGCTCCATGTCTCTTCTACATCAACATGTGTCCCCTCTTCTTCATGTCTCTTCTACATCAACATGTGTCCCCTCTTCTTCATGTCTCTTCTACATCAACATGTGTCCCCTCTTCTTCATGTCTCTTCTACATCAACATGTGTCCCCTCTTCTTCATGTCTCTTCTACATCAACATGTGTCCCCTCTTCTTCATGTCTCTTCTACATCAACATGTGTCCCCTCTTCTCCATGTCTCTTCTACATCAACATGTGTCCCCTCTTCTTCATGTCTCTTCTACATCAACATGTGTCCCCTCTTCTTCATGTCTCTTCTACATCAACATGTGTCCCCTCTTCTTCATGTCTCTTCTACATCAACATGTGTCCCCTCTTCTTCATGTCTCTTCTACATCAACATGTGTTCCCTCTTCTTCATGTCTCTTCTACATCAACATGTGTCCCCTCTTCTCCATGTCTCCTCTACATCAGCATGTGTCCCCTCTTCTTCATGTCTCTTCTACATCAACATGTGTCCCCTCTTCTTCATGTCTCTTCTACATCAGCATGTGTCCCCTCTTCCTCATGTCTCTTCTACATCAACATGTGTCCCCTCTGTGGAAAGAGACTCTGAAAGTTTCAGGAACAAAGATTCTCTCTCTTTTTGATCCATTTATATAAAAACCTGTCTGAAAATGAGCTGATCAGATTTTGGCCACTTTATGATGTCATAACGATGTTTTGGCTTGGGTAACCATTAGCCAATCAGCATCCAAGGTAACCCCCCCCTCCCCCTTTATCGCCTGAATCTCCTCCTAGAGCACCAATAGCCGCGTTCACACCAAGTACTTTGCCGTACTTAGTTCCCAGCACTTAGTTCCCCCATGGAACTAAAGAGCCGATCGCGTTCACACCGGAATAAGTTCCCTGAGGGAGGATTACGCAAATGAAGCCGCTGACGTCACTTCTTCTTCTTCTGCTTTGGGTTTACTGGCAGGGCCGCAAACCACTTCACGGCGTATACTGCCACCCAAAGTCCCCGGAGTTGGGGACTGGCTTCAGTAGAAGCTGCTGGGACTCCCAGCAGCTTCTACTGAAGCCTTCCGAGTAAATCGCCAGAACGCCGACACCTCCTCATCTCCACCGCTCCCATGTTTTATTTTGTGTTGCCATAAGTTAGTCTCTCTCTGTTGGTGCGCGGGGCGAATGCTAATAATGCTAATAATGCTAATGCCACAAATACAATGGCGGCTTCACAAAACTTTTCAGAGTTTTACGGGGCGTGGTTTGCAATTCGCCCAGCCAATCAGAAATTGGAACTTTTTTCTCCCCAGGAAAGTCCCACCTCTCTAGCAGGGACTGAAAAGCTGGGAAAAGTTCTCATGAACTAAATTCTCTTTTTGGTGTGAACGCAAAATCCCAGGAAGTATCGGAACTAAAAGGGAAAAGTACTCCGGTGTGAAAGTGCCTTATGTGTTCTTTGTACCCAAATGTCTCTCAGAGGGGCGTGGGGAGGGGCTCCTTATTTTCATCTAAATTAACAGACAGAGAATCAGCACTTTGGAAACAGGGCTGAAACAGAGGGGATTATGGGTAATGCTGCAATGATCTGTTTGGCGTTTCAGCCAAGCAGAGACAGGCTCTGTATATATCTAAGACCTGTAATATATCGATGAAACACAGTATAATAGGGGACCTTTACCATAAAGTAAAAGACACAGGAAGTGAGGAAGAGAATCCCATCACCTTGTTCCCTTAGCATGTCTCAAAACTATCTACATAAACTCGTAATTATTATTCTTATTTTTAAACATGTATTTATTGATTTTTTACATTTATCACATTACACAAACACAACCGAACATTAGACATATGGCAGATTACAAAATAATGCTAAAATGAAAAGTGTGCAGTTAGTAGAAATCAGTTTAAAGTACAGACCAAGAATATAAATAAATTAACAAATTCAACAGAAATACAACAAAAGCACAACCAGAGCTTACAATTCTCCAAATAGACGAACCGTATTCAACATTTCCTCACCGTGGTTTACCCTCTTCACTTTAACCGTCCACCGCTTCTGCAATGTCCCAATTTTGTAATAAATTCCAACTCGTAATCATTTAGTCTTTCTCTGACTCCAGGTCAGTTGCGGACCCCCGTTGGCCGTGAGCTCGTCCTGGATTACATCATCGAGAGGAAGAGGATGGACGACCTGTGCGGCAGCATCATCGACGGGCGCTTCAGGGAACAGAAGGTGAAGAAAATACATCTTCGTCAACTCCATCAAATTATTAGTCGTGTACTCCGTTAACCAGAGCCCTGCATGCTGACTTGAAATGGCTTGTTTTGCCCGACAAATGGTCAATAATCCCAAAGATATTTTCAGTTTATTATGATATGAAATGTAGAAATGCAAGAAGATTATCATATTTAAGATTAGACAAACCTTTATTAATCCCCATAGGGTTATTCTATCGGTAAAGCAGCAACAGGTATACGAGTGAAACACGGAATATATCAAAATAACAATATAATAATTCGGTGGAACTGTAAACATACATATATGGATACTTAAAATGTATATAAATGTCTGTCTTCAAGTGCATGTCCAAAAGTAGGTACATAGGATGCATCTTAAGTTTTATTTGAACTTGATGATTCATTTAAACATTTAATCGCAAATCAAAATGGTTAAATCTTCTGTAATGAGTTTCTTTGCTTTTACTCTCCGTATCTTTTGATAAAAAAAACCTTTTCCATCTTGTTATAAATTTGAAAACACTAATTGATATTCTACAATGCTGTTAATCAAATGATATAAAGAGTGTTTTTTTTACATGTGTTACTGTGCACAGCGAGAAATGTCCCTTTCTTCTCCTCATCAGTTCCGTCTGAAGCGCTGTGGTCTGCGTAACCCCTGCTACCTGGTGGAGGAGTGTGGGAAGGCTGCCTCTCACCTGAGTTTACCTGAGTCCACGCTGCAGCAGGCCATCATCAACACACAGGTGAGAGAACACACACTCACACACCTGCATGGTGGTTTAGGTGCTGTTTACACGAGAACGCAAACGGTTGTATCCGCTACTTTTCTCTTTCGTATAGCCCGTTCGTTCACACGAGGCTGTAACGGAGACGCGGAAACGATAACGGGTCCCAAGGTGGATAGATCTGCAACTGGAACGCTCTGGGGGGCCAAACGGCTCCGTGTGTACGCCCTATACGATCATTTCCTGATAACGATGAAGCCATAGCCCCGCCTCTCCCCGCCTCTCCCCGCCTCTGCTGCTCACTGCTGTAGCATGCTCAGTAGCTAGTGCTACTGAGCATGCTACAGATGTTAGTGCTAAATCTACAGCTCCTCTTAGTGTTGTCACGATACCAACATTTTGGTTTCGATACCAAGTCAAGAATTGCGATTCCGATTATTTTTCGATACTTTTCTTAAAAAAAGGGAAACAGTCGTAAATGTAATTATTGTGCTTTATTTCACACCAGAACCAGAACACAAACTTTTAAACAATGAGAACAATAAATTAAATAAATGACTAGAATTCGTATTAAATTAATTTAAGCATCATCTATAAACAACTTTTTTGTTTTTCGCTTCTGGCGTCTTTTTTGTCAACAAGCCGAGGCGCAGCGGCAGTTGCACTCCCACTTGCTGCCATGCTTCTCGCTTTCTCACATGCTCTGGCAGCTAGCGCGTGCACGAGAGAGGGGAGGGACTTAGAGCGTGCTTGAGAGAGGGGAGGCACTTAGAGCGTGCTTGAGAGAGGGGAGGGACTTAGAGCGTGCACGAGAAAGGGGGGGGACTTAGAGCGTGCTTGAGAGAGGGGAGGGACTTAGAGCGTGCACGAGAAAGGGGGGGACTTAGAGCGTGCTTGAGAGAGGGGAGGGACTTAGATCGTGCACGAGAGAGGGGGGGACTTAGTGCGTGCTTGAGAGGGCCGGCACTTAGAGCGTGCTTGGGAGGGGAGGCACTTAGAGCGTGCTTGAGAGAGGGGAGGCACTTAGAGCGTGCTTGAGAGAGGGGAGGCACTTAGAGCGTGCTTGGGAGGGGAGGCACTTAGAGCGTGCTTGAGAGAGGGGAGGCACTTAGAGCGTGCTTGAGAGAGGGGAGGCACTTAGAGCGTGCTTGAGAGAGGGGGGGCACTTAGAGCGTGCACGAGAAAGGGGGGACTTAGAGCGTGCTTGAGAGAGGGGAGGGACTTAGAGCGTGCTTGAGAGAGGGGAGGCACTTAGAGCGTGCACGAGAGAGGGGGGGACTTAGAGCGTGCACGAGAGGGGCGGGATTTAGAGCGTGCTTGAGAGGGGAGGGACTTAGAGCGTGCTTGAGAGAGGGGAGGGACTTAGAGCGTGCACGAGAGGGGAGGGACTTAGAGCGTGCTTGAGAGGGGAGGGACTTAGAGCGTGCTTGAGAGGGGAGGGACTTAGAGCGTGCTTGAGAGGGGAGGGACTTAGAGCGTGCACGAGAGGGGGGGGACTTAGAGCGTGCTTGAGAGGGGAGAGACTTAGAGCGTGCTTGAGAGAGGGGAGGGACTTAGAGCGTGCTTGAGAGAGGGGAGGCACTTAGAGCGTGCACGAGAGAGGGGGGGACTTAGAGCGTGTACGAGAGGGGCGGGACTTAGAGCGTGCACGAGAGGGGCGGGACTGCAGGCATGAAGCAGAGTGCTGAACACACGGCTCTTATTAAAACAGCGCTTTCTCACCGGAGTACTTTCCCCCGTCATTCTTAAAGTACCGATACTAATGAAACGGAGGAATCGTAACGTTTTTAACGGCAGGGTATCGCGGTACCTTTCAAGTATCGGTACACCGTGCAACACTAGCTCCTCTACCACAACCATCAGCAACAAGTGGATAAATCCACCGCGGTGCATAAACAGAAGGGCAACCATGGCAACCATGCTCAGGGGTCTTCTTCGCTGCTTTTGGTGTATTTTGTGGCAGAAGTACAGCGCCACTTACAGGCCGGCATGTGTACTACAACGTCTCCAGCGCTCCCGAGCGGTCTCGTGTGAACGGAAGACTTTTTGATATCGTATTCGGTTCGTTTGCGTTGGGGTCTTAATGTGCACTGCATTAATCACAAAACAAGATTTGTTTGAGTCTCTGATGTATACATGTTGTCTTTTGTATGTATGTGTGTGTATGTGTGTGTGTGTGTGTGTGTGTGTGTGTGTGTGTGTGTGTGTGTGGTGTGTGGTGGTGTGTGTGTGTGTGTGTGTGTGTGTGTGTGTGTTGTGTGTTGTGTGTGTGTGTGTGTGTGTGTGTGTGTGTTGTGTGTGTGTGTGTGTGTGTGTGTTCTTGATCGCTTCTTTGTGAAGAGAGTCCAGGATGTGAGGGAGTCGATGGCCTACCTCACGTCATGACTCGATACCTTAATAAACTCTACCAGGTAAACGTTTAATACCATATTTTATAAAAGCAATACATGTTATGTTTTTAAAATCGTCCCAAAAGATAAAACAATTACGGTAGGGGTTTTGCCTCAAACTTCAATCATTTAGACATGTTCTTATGCCTTTTGAACCCTTGTTCTATAAAGAAATGAGTATATTGTGTATTACTGTATAGGGGTCTAAGACGGCCCCAAAACAAGTGGAATAGTTCTGATAATAAACTTTTAAATCTGTTTCCTCCAGAACTGTACGCTGACGTGTCGCTCCAGAGAGCTGGAGGGGATAGAGAGGATGAGGAAGAGGAGAGAGGGGACCCCCCCCCTGCTCTCTTATCTCTTTTGCAGAGTTCAACCACGGTGCAATCAAAAACAAGGTGGTGTGTGTCCGTCTCTTTGTTTTTTGCATTTAAAAGAAAGACTTTTTGTAGCAATACCTGTTTTTAAATTCCAACTACCCTGTTGGTCCATAATCTATTTTTTTACAATACTTTATTCAGAAGACAGTTGAGAACATTTCCCCAGTTACAGGGAGTAGTAGACATTAGCAATAAGGGATCAGTATCTGATGTGCATCTTATAACCCAGTCCTCAAAGAACCTCCACTGGCTTCCTGTCTCCCATCGCATCAACTACAACATTCTGGTCCTCACCTACAAAGCACTCCACCATCTGGCCCCCCCTTATCTCACAAACCTTCTCACATCCTTATCAACCTCCACGGTCCCTCAGATCCACCGCAGCCGGACTCCTATCCATTCCCACATCCACACTCTGCAGCTTTGGGGACAGAGCCTTCTCAGTGGCAGCTCCTCGCTCTGGAAGTCCTCCCCCAAGATCTCCGTGACTCTGAGTCCCTCACAGTCTTTCAGTCCTGCCTCAAACACATCTTTCAACTCTGTGTCTACCCATAAGCCCCCCCCCCTCTCAATCAACTTCCTCTTGACTGCCTTTTTATTTTTTACCTAATTGTTTGCCTGTCCTTGTTGGTCTACCCTCCCTCATACTGTAAAGCGTCTTTGAGTTGTGAAAAGCGCTATATAAATAAAATGCATTATTATTATTATACAATGTTTCATGAACTTAATACAATAACAGAAGGGATGTCTCGTCACAGAGGCATACTTGACAAACAAACAAGCAATTACAATATTTTGCTAATTAGACCAAGCAACCTTTTTATTTTGGTGATAGAACTGGTTATCAGCTCATCGGTTCATAATCTATCTTAATAAATAAATCTCTCCCTCTCAGAGTCAGACGGTGAAAGAAGTGTTTGCCCGGCAGCTGATGCAGGTGAGCGGACTGTCGGGAGACAAAGCAGCTGCTATACTGGAGCTCTACAGCACCCACCGCTCAGGTAACCCACATTATGATACAGTCACACATCTCACCTGTTCAAGTATTCCTCCCTTTCTTTCAAAGGTGTTTTTAGATAACGTATACAAAGAATGAGGCAGTTTAGCACTAGCAGAGATAGATATCATGGAAGCAAAACTTCACCTGTCTGCCCGTCAAATACCGCATCGATTTTAGTTTCTGACTCCTCTCACTCCATTTTCAAATCACGTCTCTTCACACCCTGATCACATGACGCATCTTCGGTCCTTATTGATTATATTGCCTTGTTGTTCTGCTGGTTTTTAGTTTTGTGTGTCTTGTATGGCGACTTGAGAGCCTTGAAAGGCGTCTATAATAAATAAAATGTATTATTATTATTATAAAACATTACATTTCAAGGATTCATTTATTTTTCATATCGCAAAACTACATTGTAATCTTAAGTCTCATGCTCCTCCTCCAACAGTGCAGCAAACAATATACCCAGCATGAAAGAGTTAGACATGAAACCCAATAAAATAATGCACTAGACAAAATGGGACAGGTAAGTTGAAGGAATATGAAAAATGTGTTCATATAATAAAGAATAAGATTAAAAAAAACCTCATTGAGTTCAGAAACTCATGAAATAAACGAGACATTTCTGACTTTGGGTAATTAACAACAAGGTTGAAACATGAGGGTATACTTCGCGTCGGGCCGAACCACGCCCCTGAGCTGTGATATAATGAGCATATACCACGGCCTGAAGTGAGCTATTGCTTTTATAAAACGGTTACCAAGTGTGGCAATATGAAAGAAAAATACACACTCTAATTTAAATAGTTTTTATTAGTAAATAATGATGTTCAAAATAAAATAGTCCCTCCGTTGCCTTCTGCAAGAAACATAGTGCGAGGTGGTTGCTATGCAACAACACTAACAGCTAGCGAACATATTAGAGAGCGTTGATCCATTATTTGGCTATTTATTTACATTAATTTGTATGTTTCCGTTTATTGTGCAGCCACTGAAAACCTGTC